TTTGTCGAGCTTCTCATCATCTTCATGTTTAACTCTGGCGTCAGGTGGAGTTTGATAAACAAGGCAATCTGGCAGTGGCATACCGCAAAGGCCTTTATTACCCACATATGCCCATGAGTCAAAGGTCGACAATTGACCACTCGTGGGTATTTTTCCTGATAAGTTGTTGTAAGACAGATTCAAACGTTCCAGGAAATGCATAGCAGAAAAGCTCGAAGGTATCTCCCCTGTAAGATCGTTGACTGATAAGTCAAGTGATTCTAGTTGTTTCATGTCACCGATTTTTTCTGGAATCCTCCCAGTCAAATGATTGTTGGATAAGTTTAGGAAGCGCAACCCGAGAAGCTGTGTCAGTTCTTTTGGGATTTCACCAGAGAGATGATTATTTGACAAGTCTATGCATGTCACCAGCGACAGAATGGTTGTGTAATCAACCGTTGATCCTTTTGTGGTTATGAAGCTGCTCTCGCTATAATAATATGTTTCGATATGAAGCATTGACCTAATATCATTTTGTATCTCAACCATGGCACTGAAATTTCCTAGAGATGATGGTAGACTACCAGTTAGATTATTGGAAGAAAGATCCAATAACTGGAGAGAAGTGAGATTCACTATATTCATTGGGATGGTACCATTTAGAAAGTTTGACCTCAGACGAAGAACTCTCAACGACGAGAGGTTTCTTCCTATCCATGTTGGAATTCTGCCATGCAATTTATTTTCACCAAGATCAAGGGTAATTAATTGGTCACAATATTTCAAAAACAAAGGAATTGTTCCAGATAGATTGTTATTATTCAAATGTAAAGATTGTAGAGAGGTTGGGAATGAGTAATGACAATTCGGGACTTCTCCGATTAAGTAATTGTTAGATAGGTCAAGAATCTGAATTACAATATCACAAAAGAAGGGAGGCAAATTACCGGTGATATGGTTATGAGACAAAGATAATAGAGAGAGGCCTGTATCTTTTGCAAAGCTTTGGGGAATAGGTCCCACAAATGAGTTATTGGAGAGATCCAACATTGATTGAGGAGCAGAAGGTAATCGACCTTGTAAATTGTTAGAGCTCATGTTAAGACTCCACAATCCTCTCGAGAAATTTGAAAACCAAACTGGGAGGTTGCCCGAGAGTCCAACTCCACATAGATATAGATTTGTTAATTGCGTCTGAGTTTGAAGCCAAGTAGGCAATTCAGCTCCTAAATGACAAAAGCTCATGCCAATGAATTCGACGTTAAAAGGAGGATGCCAATCATTTGGTAAGATCACGTTCAAGGAGTTGGAAGATATTGTAAATCCGAGTAAGTTTGTGAGATTAGAAAAGTGTGCTTCGGTGATGTTACCTACTAGAGAGTTTGAGGAGAGGTATAGATATTGTAATTGAGATACTCGACCCATACTCGAAGGAATAGTACCGCTTAAACGGTTACGATCCATATGTATGGATAGTAAAGACGTCCATTGTGCGCAGGCAGATAAACCATCAAATAGACTGGTTAGCTCCCCACCAATGCTGTTCTGAGACAAATCCAACAAAGTTAAGTTGCACAGGCCACCCATTGTTCTTGGTATTTGACCTGATAAATTGTTATTTGATATATCCAAGTCCGTCAAGTTATGGAGTCCACCAATCGTATCAGGTATTTGCCCAGTAATCAAGTTATCTTCTAAAATCAACTTACGCAGGTTTTGAAGATCCCCAATGATTGCTGGTATTTGTCCAGAAATATAATTGTGATTGAGATATAATACCTGTATATGGATGAGAGCACCGATGATCTCTGGAATACGTCCGACAATATTATTCGATGATAAATCTAAGAATACCAAGTTGGTGACGTTGCCTATGCTCGATGGTATCTCTCCGGTGATCGAATTGCCATCCAAAGATAAGTATCGCAAGCTTGTGAGATTCCCTGGCAAAGCTGGGATACGTCCAGTGACATTGAAATTCCATGATAAGTCGAGGTACTCCAGGTTTCCAAGGCTCCATAGAGTTTGTGGAATATCTCCGGATAAATAATTCGAGTTCAAGTCTAGATGCTTTAGGTCCCTGCTACGGACATTATTCAGAATTTCAAGAATTTCTCCTTTAAGGGAGTTGTCTGACAAATCCAATTCCTTTAGATTACTGAGAGCTCCTAGAGCAATTTGGACCGACTCGATAGTGAGACTCCCAGTGCCTACCGAATCGATAAATTGACTCGTAGTGCCAAAAAGAATAAGGTACTCGAGACTGGTGGCATTAGAAAACCATCTTAGCATGGTCGACATGTTCAAATTCCAAGACAGATCCAACGTTAAGATGGCTGTTAGATTAAAAGTGGGCAAAGGAGATGGAACATATGGCAGGTCTGCAGCGCTCAAACGTAACAGTTCAAGTGTGGGGATCGAATTAATTTCAGAAAGCCAATTGGTTGCCCTGGAGAGGTTGACATAACTCATGTCAAGATATTTTAGATAAGGAATACGGGAGAGCCAATCGAGATCGTCAACGTGTAGTTGACCATCATACCATCCCTGAAGATCGAGATAGTGTAGGTTGGAGAGGTTTCCCAGCTGAGGAGGAATCAGTCCATCGAACATGGCATGAGATAGGTTGAGATATTCCAAGTGGACTAGTGAAGCGATCATTTTAGGCACAGGGGCATGGAAGAAGTTATTCACGCTCAAATCCAAATACTCCAAATGCTTCAGTTCTTGCAAAGATGGATTTACCTTGCTGATGCCTATTGGTTTCCAAAACGTATCCCATATATCGTCTGTATAGGGGTAGCGGAGGTCGAGCTTGGTGACATGGCCCGTGGTGTTGTCGCAGGCCACACCTCTCCACCCACAGCAATCTTTGCCGGTCCAAGAAGAAAACCTGTCGCCGGGGTCGTACATATCGGATTTGATGGCGAGGAGAGCTCTCCTCTCGCTCTCCATGCAACTGCTGCTGATTCCCTCCACCTCGACATGATCGTCATCGCCGAAGCCTTGCCCGAGACAGCAGGAGACGAGAAGTAAGGCCACGAGCATCATGAGACGCTTCGAGGCAATACGTCCGCACTGGAAACTGCCGCTACCAGCTGCAGCCATCGATTGAACGCTCAAGACAAGAGAAAAGTTAAGGTGTGAGATTGGAGAGGAGAACTCTGTGGGCATGTATATATAGGCACATCACCACCGGAAATCCCCATGACTTGTAGGCACATTAGCTGTAGAATTGATGCTGTGGCTAATACGCAGTCAAGGTCAAGCATACTCGAACTTTAGCGTGGCTAATACAGCATTAAATAGCAATTTCATTGGGTTTTCTATTTTTAGATGATTTTAGAGATATTTTTTTTTAAATCGAACTTGGATAGATTCACACCGTAAAACTACATACAAATCCCTAAAATAAAGAGCTCTTTAGTAAATTCGGAGAAAAAAAATGCTCTCAAATAAACGCTAATTATGATCGAATAAATTATCGATAAATAATTTTATACAAAACATAAAAGGATGTAAATTGTTTATGTTCCTCGACGTGCAAGTTAAGGAGACTTTCGGCGTTGGAAAACATAGATATTTCTCATGACATGATGAATGGTTTGATATGAATTGAGTGAAAAATTGGAAGAAACTACTCTTCCGAGATGCCTTTCAACACCTAAATTTCCATCAATCTTCCATTTGGTGTGAGGTTGGAGGGAAGTCATATGTTCTCATTGAAGCTTCTATCATGTTATTGAGACGCAAGTCGAAGTCTTGCATCTTATCGTGTTGCTCGGGCATAAGTCAACGTGATTGAGACACATATCTATCTCTTTGAGACTTTGATATATACCACGGACAAAATATAAGATGTGTGAGTTGATTGATTAATATGTGAGACTTTGATGTTTGAGGAATGTTGGAGATTTAGATGTGAAGAGTTTAACTGTGAAATAAAAAAATTAACTCATGATAAAGATGCAAGGGTTGAATTATTCATTAACGTGGGATATTTTGTTGACCAGTCAATCAATCGGAGTCACATTTGCTCAATTATTATAATAGGAGTTCCAGTTTATTCATTAATAATATAGTGTGGATATACATTTTCCTACCACGAGAAGAGTAGTTAGAACTTTCACATGCCACTTCCTAAGTGTCAACATCGATTTAGATTATCTGTTACGTTTATCAACATTATAGAACTAACTTTCTTAAAGATAATCTTTGTCACAAATTTAGTACCATGATGAAATGACTTAATCAAATGATCTTCATAAAAATTAAATTAGAAGTATGCTCGAGAATGCCCCATAAATGCATGCGTTAGATAACATGCAACTTAAGGAGCAATACTCTTTACTTAAAACTCATAGTGAACGAGTTAGAAAACTAAGTCAAGGATACATCCGACAAGAGCCCTTCAACTCTTAAGTTATGATGTATGTAAGTTGAGGTGCAATAACCTATAATAAGAGCTTATTAGCCAATGAGTTTTCAAGGATCATACCTACCTAGAGTCTTTCATAGTAAAAATATGTAACTATCTCTATTTAGTAGATAGTTGTTTTGTAATGAATAGTTTTACAGGAAATAAATTAATTAAATTTATTAGATAAAACAAAATAAATCTCATTCAACTCAAATCCAACTTCAAAAACTCTTAAACACTTTTTTACATATATTTTAAAGTACAATCTTATAGATAAAATCCAATAATACTCACCCTCTTTAGGATCCTGAGATATATAAGGCTTGTATAGAACAATCAAATCATAACTGCCAGGGATTTTTTTTTCATACTTGTATTTTTTTTTGTAATGTTGTTCTTCATGTAATTTGAGTCATATTAGAACTTGGTAATCATGACAAGTAATTCATAGATATTTGCTATCCAATTAAGTCTTAGGTTACTGCATTCAATTTTTGATGTCATCAATTCGAGATGATTTGGTAGGACACTAATTGACCATATTTAGACGTCAGCATGTCACAGTGTGATAGACCATTCTATGAATATAACATTATTTTTATATAAATGATCTAAAGAAATAGTAAGACTAGTAACAGTCTGTTCTTGCAATTAATATTTTATTACATTGTTGTGGAAATTCAATGGTGACTCAAACAAAGCCTCGACTTACACCAAAACTGTAATGGACGAAGAAAAAGAAAAACCCACCATGATGAAAGATTGTTATATACAGTTAGATATAGGGTTGCAAAGTGCAAGAACCCAAACAAACGAAGAAACTATTTTGAAGGCCTTAGAAAGGGCCAACCTTCGATGATGGAAAACGTAATTGTTTTGTACATGCTCACTTGAATAGATCAATTTTATAAAGAATCACGTAAGGAGTCTATAATAACTTAGAGATGGATAACTAATTATGAAGCATTTTTAATAGGCATGTAACGCCTTTGCCCTTCTTGTATGGGCAGTTTGATCCTTGAATGAATTTACATTCCTTTTTCGAGTTCAACAAACAAGCGGCAGTGTCTTCAAGGCAAAGCAACACCAAATGATCATACGTGACTCAAAACACTAGAACACACAAATACATGGAATATATATACATAGACAGTCTTAGCACTTAGCGACAGTTCAGTTTATTCTTTGTCATTATTTTGGACTTTCAGCTTTCAACCACACATACATCCATCCAGCCATAGATGTTGTCGATTTGTTGGAAGAGAGCAATCCTTATGCCTTGTTTCACGATCACTATACCAATAGAAACCCCACAAGACAACTATGAATCCCATGAGGATACTAGTAACATCTAATATTATTGTTTCGAGCATATCACCATCATCATCTTCTTCTAGTTTGACTCCTGCATCATCTGCTTTTATTATAGGAACACCAAAACAGCAGCAAATTTGATAACACCTAAAACAAAGCTCTGCATGTCCTGCAAAATGTGATTTCCAGGAAAAAGAAACAAAAAAAATCCTACAGTTAAAAATACTGAAACAATCACACAACATAAAATGTTGATCTGCCAAAAAAATTCATTCAAGAAACATAGAATATCTTTCTTAAGATAATTATATAATCAAATGTCTCGAGCTTTCGCACCTGAATGATAGGCACATCACCACCGGAAATCCCGATGACATCTGCGCACATTCCCTGTAGATTTGATCCCGTGGCTAGCAAGCAGTCAAGGTCAATCACACTTTGACTTTAGTGACGCCAAGATGCAAGTCAAAGTCAAGGGCGCCCACTTAATTCTGATGTGAGGATGGATAATCCATACAAGTTGGAGAGGGACCTAACTTCCACTCACGAAGCAACAACATGATAGAAGCTGCGAAGCACTTAATTCTAATGTGAGTGAGATTTGGACGATTCATGTAAATTGGAGAGGGCCCTAACTTCCACTCACGAAGCAACAACATGATAGAAGCTGCGAAGCACTTAATTCTAATGTGAGTGAGAGTCGGACGATTCATGTAAGTTGGAGAGGGCCCTAATTTCCTAAATGTCTACATCGATTTTGACTTGCTGTCACGTTTATAGATATTACAGAGCTAATCTCCTTCGAGATAACCTTTGTCCCAAGGTTAGTATCACGATGAAAGGATTCGATGAAATAATGCGCATGAAAGCTAAATCAGAAGCATACTTGACAACACCACCAAATCACGTGAGGCTAATACGCAGTTAGAAGTCAAGGAAACTTAATTGTGATGTGAGGGTTCCATTGAGCGTTCATTTACAAAAAAAATGGTATAAATGTTTACGTTCCCAACCTACAAGTCAAGTCAAGGAGACTATCGATTTGAAAAGCATGGATTTCTGATGACGTGACGAATGATTTGATATGAATGGAGCAGGCAAATATGATATACATGTTGATTTGATAATGAAAGACTTCCATTTTTCAATAGAGCAGGCAATTATGATATACATGTTGATTTCATTGTTCTTTTCTATTTTTAAGGTGATTCTAGGAGTTTCTTAAGTGACATATTTCGTATGTTGATTCTGTCATCAAATACAACATGGTACATATATGAGTATAATGACTTAAAAGCTTATTCAACCCAATTTTAATATAGAAGATAAATTCAACATTAAATAGTAATTTCATTGGGTTTTCTATTTTTAGATGATTTTAGAGATTTTATTTTTTTAAAATCGAACTTGGATAGATTCACACCGTAAAACTATGTAAAAATCCCTTAAATAAAGAGCTCTTTAGTAAATTCAGAGAAAAAGAATGCTCTCAGAGAAACGCTAATTATGATCAACTCTTCTGAATAAATTATCGAAAAATAATTTTATACAAAACAAAAAATGATGTAAATGTTTATGTTCCCCGACATGCAAGTCAAGGAGACTTTCAGCGTTGGAAAACATGGATATTTCTCATGACGTGATGAATGGATCCCTTTCAACACCTAAATTTCCATCTATCTTCCATGGGGTATAAGGTTGGAGGGAAGTCATTTGTTCTCTTCGAAGCTTCTATGTGTGGCTGAGACGCAAGTCAAAAGCTCACATCTTATCATGTTGCTCGGGCACAAGTCAACGTGATTGAGATACATATCTGTCTCTTGGAGACTTCGATGCATACCATGGTCAAAATATAAGATGTGAGGGTTGATTGATTAATATGTGAGACTTGGGTGTTTGAGGAATGTTAGAGATTTAGATGTGAAGAGTTTAATCATGAAATAAAAAAATTAACTCATGATAAAGATGTAAGAGTTTAATCGTCGAAGATTTTATTGACTAGTCAATCGGAGTCACATTTTCTCAATTATTATAAATGAAGTTCTAATTTATTCACTAATAATGTAGTGTGGATATACATTTTCCTACCACTAGAAGAGTAGTTAGGACTTTTACATACCACTTCCCAAGTGTCGACATCAAATGAAAATTAAATCAGAGATATACTCGATAATATCCCATAAATGCATATGTTAGATAGCATGCAACTTGAGAGGCAATACTCTTAAAACTTATCAGAAAACTAAGTCAAGAATATATTCAACAAGAGGTATGCAACTTGAGGAGTAGTAACCTATAATAAGAGCTTTTTAGTCAATGAGTAATCAAGGATAATACCTATCTAGAGTCTAAAAATATGTAACTATCTCCATTTAGTAGATAGTTATTTTGTAATGAATAGTTTTCAAGGAAATAAATTGATTAAATTAATTAAATAAAATAAAATAAATCTCATTCAACTCAAACCTGATTTCAAAAACTCTTAAACATATTTTTACATATATCTTAAAATATGATATTATATATAAAACCCAATAATACTCACCCCATTTAGGATCCCGAGTTATAAAAGGCTTGTATAGAATAATCAAATCATAACTGCCAAGGATTTTTTTTCATACTTAGATTTTTTTTATAATGTTCTTCATATAATTTGAGTCAACTTGGTAATCACGACAAGTAATTCATAGATATTTTCTATCCAATTAAGTCTTAGGTTACTGGTATTTAATTTTTGATGTCCTTAATTCGAGATGATTTGGTCGGACACTAATTGACCACATTTAGATGTCAACATGTCACCAGCAAACAGAGTGTGACAGACCATTCTGTGAATATAACATTCTTTTTATACAAATGATCTATAGAAATAGTAAGACTAGTAACAGTTTGTTCTTGCAAGTAACATTTTATTACATTTTTGTAGAAATTCAATGGTGACTTACGACAAAACCTCGATTTTATTGTTTAATTGTATCACTAGAGCATAATAACATTGTTGAATTTTCTTTTATTGTAAAAACAATAACAGGAGAAAACAATCTGTATGAAACAATGAAATTTGTATATAATCTCAAGAAATATAATTGATTTTGGCAAAAAAGAGACCAAGATAAGGAAGACAGAATTGTGCACTTGCGATTAATCATTTAGCAAAATGATGATAGATGGAGATGTTATGATACTAAAACAAATACATTTACCGTATATGGACAATCTATGATGATTATTGTGACAGCATAATATGATAACATCATTCCATGGAAAAACAAGATTTTTGATACGGCTAACTTCGAAGGACCAACATAACCTTAAGCTTTACTGCCACCTGCACATAGATCCAATCACAAGTCCTGTCGATCAACTGGAACAGAGCAATCCTGACGCCATGTCTCAGATGTTATCTTTAAACAGTAACCTTAGTTCTGGACAACACCAAATGGTCATTCATAAATCAAAACACTAGAACACATAAATACATGAAGTCTACATAGACAATCATAGCACTTCGCCACAGTTCAATCGATTCTTCGTCATTTGGACTAAAGCTTTCAGCTGCACATATCTGCATGCAGCCATAGATGTTGTCATTTTGTTGGAATAGAGAAATCCTTAAGCCTTGGTTCACGATCACTACGCCGATAGAAACCCCAGAAACAACTATGAATCCCACGACAACGCTAGTAACATCTAATATTATTGTTTCAAGCATATCACCATCATCATCTTCTTCTAGTTTGACTCCTACTTCAGGTGAACTGGTGGCAATGTGCTTTTATTATAGAAACACCAAAATAACAGCAAATCAGGAACTTATGTAGAGCATTCAGGTGACACCTGAATCAAAGTTCTGCGAGTCCTGCAAAATATGATTTCCAAGGAAAAGGAATAAAATATATATATATATACTCTCAAGTTATGAATACTGAAACAAACGCACATAACATAAAATGTTGATTAACGAAAAAAACTCAATCAAGAAACATAGAATATCTCTATCTCTCTTAATATAATTATATAATCAAAAGTCTCAAACTTTTGCAC